CCTGAACCGGTAGAGTAGCATACAATGGGTCTGTGCTCAAAGGCTGGGGCAGCATACTTTGCAAGGACAGTCTGGCGCTTCTGACTCACAGCCTATAAGAAAAATTTTTATATTTAAAGAATTTGCCACTGATGATTCAAACGCGAGTAGCACTTGGTGTTTGTCATTTCTCTGATCACAAATGCAGACATGGTTTTATGTAAAAGCGGCACGATATTGACTTGTACCTGAACTTTAAAGGGGACTCAACCTTCTTTTTATTTGTGATATACTGTTCTCAGTCTAAATTACATTCACACTGGTGTTTTAGGAAGCCAAACTAAGCTTTTATTTTGAGAGAAACGGCAGTAGAGCTTTTATTTTGAAGGAAAACTCCAGCTTCAGTGAAAACAGGCTTACAAAAACAAAAACGTGTCTCACTACAAATCTAGGGAAATGCTGTAATCATCTGCAGCGAAAATAAAGCATAACTGGTGGCCGGTGCATTCCCAAACGAGCGCTAAACTCACAACACGTGCAATAAACGAGTTCACTGCATTCATTCACTGTGAATGGAGCCGTTCTGAGGCGCGGAAAACACCGGATCACGAGCTGATCGCATAATGTGAGAGCTTCGCTTTAAAACACGCAGCAAAAACAGACTTGATGAAGGGATTAAGCCATTTTGTGCTGCTTTCGGTTTTAGTTCCTTTGACAGATACTGTGCCAAAGCATAATGGCCCAAAACACAACTTTAAAGACCTTTTATGTTAGATTAAGAAGTTTAAATATATTTTAAAAACTACTTTTTGCCCGGAAGACCTAGCGTTTCATATTGTCATGTGACCACGATAATAGCCTATCAAGACAGTTTGTGTTCCAAGACTCCAAAATCAGGTCAGAATCTATCTAACATGGACCACCCGTGTGACCACACACAAACAAAAGAGCTAGCGAGAAAAAGAAAAATCAGACTGGAGACAGAGTCTGAAGCGCAACGCAAACCGACACGAGTTCCTACTAACTGTCTATGCAAGCCAGCAGAGTTTGATCGGTTATGACAGTTCATATATAGTTTTAGTGAACTCCTGCTTTAAATAAACCAGCTTTGGATTGACCGAAACCACTTTTGCATAGACTTCAGCAAGTCTGACCAAAACAAACACAATGGGTCTTGGATCAGTCACCAATGGTTAAATTAAAAACACATGTAACACTACTCTTTCAGTCAAAATCTTTGCACTTTTGCTTATTCTCTCTTTCCCCCGAGACTCTATGTGGCCAACGCTAATAATAGTGCATAAACTTCTTTCACTTCATTTATTTCTCTCTCTCTCACACAATTTCTTAGCAAGATAACTGCTGTTTCACAGGACTGTAGAGTGCATGCTGATTTGTTTATTTTTAGGATGAATGCTTACATTTGGTGCTAGAGATTGAGGGAACAGCCAGATAAAGTAGGAAGGTGGGAGACAATTTGCAACATCAGAGAAAAGAGAGGAAAAAGAGGGAAATGAAGAGGCATTAGAAGTTAACTGATATCACTTTATCTTCCAAAATATGCAATAAAAATGAAAACTTTTGGTTGTTTTGTTGTCGCAGACCACTGTGTGAATACTCTTTAACGTCACATCAAGATACACCTCAAACACCAAACTATACATCTAATTATACAACTATACATCTAACTAATCTGACATGTCATCTTGGCTTAAAGATAAAACCAATGCACAAAAATAAGGGGATAAGTGAAAAGGGTACAATCTGTGCCATCTGAACCAGAATATGTTGGCTTTTTTGATGTTATCAAGTTATAATAATGTTACCTCCTTTTTCTTACCTCCCTTAGTGAACACTAGATGTATGAAATTGTGAACTGAAGTGGCAATAAATTGAACCCTCTAGCCCTGGAGGCGGCAATTTGGAGTTGTCGTCTTGCTTCATTGCTTTTTGCAGAATCTCTGCCAAATAAAACCCACACATTTCTAGTTGAGAGGTGTGTGAGAGAGGGAGAATGACAAACTCATATATGTGTGCCTGAACATGCCTTTAAAAATCCAACCCCTGCACTCGGCCAGTCTATTGTTAGAGAACCACTGAACAACTTCCCTTCCTTCCTCGACAAAAGAAAACAGATACACCTCCTTTGTGTTAGTTGTAGGTGTGTGAGAGAAAGAGAGTGTTCTCGCACAAGAATATTACATAACTTTTCTGGACAATTTCTTTGGACAACTGTTTGAAATTAAAAACAGCTAATTTGCATTTGTGACACATGCATATCAAACATTTGCACAATCCCATAATGTAAGATTATGTTGTGGTTAATAGTCTAATAGCACACTGTAGAACATCAAGATCAAGCATTTTAGACTCAAATAAGATAACTATTATCTTAAAACTAAATATATGGTCCGAAACACATGTAAACACAAAGGTAAGGCCAAATGTACAACATCTGCATCAAAATTCAGAATAGGAATCATAGGACTTACCCAGAAATCATATCAGATTTTAGCATAACTCAAATCAGAAATATTTACATAGTCTTTTTAGAGGTGGCATAAATGCAATCCAATAACTGACCCAATACATTAAATAAAAATACTAAACAAACGTGGTAACTTTTCATTTATCAAACTAGCCTGCATGTACATCTTTAACTGCCAAATGAACAGCCAGACATTAACTAACACTCTCACAAGTACATAGCGCAGTAACTTTTCTTGCTTCTCTTCAGACACGACGAAAGTAACAATTGCTCATTAAGTTAAATCAATAACCGCTCCGGTTGATTCAGAATCACTACAGAGAACCGATTCATTCGCTCTGGAATCGGACACAGTGGCGCTCAAGATGTTGATTCGCTACAAAGAACCGAGTCTTGAGAATCATTCGTTCAGGAATACGACTACAGTACACAGTGGCGCTGGATGTATTCGATTCACTAAAAAAACGGCTCGCAAGATTCATTTATTTGGCGAACCGGGTTTTTTTTTTAATTCACTTTAAGTTAAAGACTTGGTGTGTTTTTCGCACCCAGCAGCGGTGTTTAACGAATAGTAGTGCGTTAACAACTGTCAACAGTTCAGTACGGTCCGCATCGTTCGATACCCTTTACCAGATCATGAAAATCACATCATGTAAATCATTCGGTTCCAGTATATATATATATATATATATATATATATTTTTTTTAAAGAACGGTTCTCGATTGCCCACCCTAAACAAAAGATGTCTTCACAGAAAGCACGACCTAGAAGTAACGTTAAATCTATAAATACGATCTAAAAATACATGCACTCCTGAAGTTGTTTGTAAACACGCGTGTGCAAAGTTTACCGGTATTGGCTGCAAATCAGACTCTATGATCGAAACTAGTTTCACTCATAAAACTTATAAGCATGCATGCATCTCATTCATAAATAGCGAGTTTACTTTAAATCGACCCTATTGTTAAATACATGAGCTACTCCTTTGTTGATGGGTATGTTTTGGCAGTGAATTACATTACAAAACGCTTAATAAATGCATTCGTAAATTACATATGCATATCTATAGATATAGCATGAGCACGAAACCATGTTCTCAACACAGCCCCCATCCATCCAAACAGTCTGGAATACTCACCTCCAAATCGGTATTCTTCACGGGGAAAGAACAGCGAAGTGGAATTAAAAGAAAGGGTGTTTAACTGGATTGTTTTCTGTACACGTTGGAATGACAAAAAATGCACAGAGTTAAACGTGTTCGTTGTGATCCTGCATGTTGTACGAGGTTAGAGCCGCGTACGCACAATTTGGGCTCAGCTGACTGCTTCAAACACACGAGGGTGAGGAACTCTTCTTCTTCTTCTTCCTCTTCTTCTTAGTTTTATGGCGGATTGCAACCATGACTTATCAGGTGCATACCGCCAACTACTGTATCGGAGTATGGGGGGGGCTCAGGGTGAGGAACTCTTCCAGCCCCGCCCCCTTTACGCACAAGACACACCTCCTTAGTTACAACCCGCCTATTTTAACCCATTGTTCTAAAATTCAGGCGGACAGCTTCAGGATGATCTATAACTGGCTGTTTTTTTAATCTGTTTGAGTATCAGCTACAGCATCATGCATAACACATATTCTCAATAAGAAAGGAGCTAAAAGTATTACCACCTTATAACAAAGGCAAAAACATAGGTATCACTTGGTTCATGCTGAGAACATTATACTTAATTTCGCACTGCATGTCCTGTGCCGCTTTAAATGCTCGAGCTCGTGTGGATTCTGATTGGCTGTTTTTTTTTTGTTTGTTTGTTTTTTTGAAAAAAACTGTTTAGAAAATCGTTCTAAAAGTTCCAAAGATTTTGTTCCTGGTGTGTGGACTGACTCCCCTAAATTCTCATAAAATTAGAACGATTATTTTTAGTTTTCGCACATGCATTCTTCAGCATACACTTACCGCGCGATTCACGAACGAATGACTCTCATGAATCGGTTCTTCCTATTCAGACAAACACGACTGTCGAAGAAATGATTCACTCTTATGAGTCAGTTCTTTTTAGTTAATCAGTAACATAGAGCGAGAAGTCCGATTCTATTAGTAACTCTATTAGTTGGTTCTTTTTCGTGTATTAAAACTAGTAGCGCAACCAGTGCAGTCCGATTCCCGAATTAATGACTCTGAGTCGGTTCTCTTGAATCATACAGTTCACAACAGTGAGTGTAAATAGTGACTATATGAAAACGTGTGGTAGGCCATTTTATCAAAAAAAAAATGAATGAAATACATAAACTAAGCGTTAGCGTTAGTTCTGGCAGGTCACGTGAGTCAAGCTTGCATCAGCTGATTCTCAGCTGATCACATCTACCTATAGGAATACGACACCTATCGCAGCATTCCTATATAAGCTCTATTCAGTATTATTCAGCAGCTTTTCAGCTTGCTTAGGAGCAAATTACCCTCCTCCATCCCCAGCTCCTCCTTTCGCCACAGTCAGGACTTGGCTTTCTGATATTCCCTGCTAATCAGACTCCTTTATCTTGAATAAAGTGTTACAGTTAAATATCATTAAGTACATTAATGATATCTGCCTTGTTCTGTTCTGTTAACCCTAGGGGGGTTATTATTGCTGCTCTCCCTGCTCATTCATGACAGGCTGCATGGATGGGCAGGGAGTTTTTTGTCCAGAACAGAACCATACCGCCAAACCAAACTTTATGCTAAGTATCTATCATTTTGACGATAGTGGTCCTGACAGAATTATATTTTCTGTTTGTTTACATTAATTTAGGGACAACCTTCCTCATAATAGACCTAAGAATAGCAACGTGTTAAATTTTTGACAGGAAGAGGTTGTGAGGACAGAAGTTCAGTGCATTGGATTGTACTGTTCTTTAACAGCATAGCAATTGTTCAGCAATTAATCAGCTAATCGAAGAAACTTCCAGTAGACAAAAACTAGTTAGACATAAAATAGTTTTGAAAGTTGTTAGTTGGCGAAAATTACGTGATCTATGACCTTTATACAGTGCATGCAGTCTATCCCTCTCAGTCTCCGTGTTAAATTCAGCATCTAATCTGACTAAGGTCTATAATCATGTAAGGTGAACCACAACACTGATATGTGACATGGCCTCATATTCTCCTCTCTTTGAGCTGAAATTCCCATCACATTCCACCACCGGTACCTTCTGTCCATGTATTACAGCACATGAGACCTACATTACATCTGATGATTTATGATATTGCCTGGTAATCAGGTTACATCTTCTAAACATATGCTATCTCTCTAAAATTTCTATACAGTACAAAATCCATCTGAGACTTTCATCGCTTCCAGAATCTGAAGCGTCACACAATGGAGACCAGGAAAGCATTTCCAGGAGCGATGGACACTTGGTGTTGACAGGATCAGGGCAGGAGGGTTTGCTTGGGATTACATAGCCATCTCATGAAACGTGGCCCTCGGCCAAACCTGGCGGGACACGCCTCTGGAATTCCAGGAGAAGCGGTTATAAGATGCTCCTATGGGACCAATACTCAACACTGAGATTGCACAATTCAGATAGAGACAGCATCACTTCTGCCTGGTGAAGCCTCATATAGGAAAGATATCTGAAGATGTATTCATGGAGATTTTTTGTTTGTTTGTTTGTTTTGGTCAGTGACATCAGATATCAGACATCTTCTTGAGTGACACAGAATCATGATGGGTGGCACAATCTTGAAATATTGATACTTAAAGGGATAGTTCACCCAAAAATAAAAATGTGATGTTTATCTGCTTACCCCCAGGGCATCCAAGATGTAGGTGACTGTTTCTTCAGTAGAACACAAACTGAGATTTTTAACTCAAACCGTTGCAGTCTGTCCGTCCTATAATGTCAGTGGATGGGAATTACGGCTTTGAGTGTCATAAAACATACACAAACAAAACCAAATTAAACCCTGCGGCTCGTGATGATACATTGATGTGAAAAGATACAAAACGATCGGTCTGTGCAAGAAACTGAACAGTATTTATATCGTTTTTTACCTCTGATTTTCACCGCAATGTGAAAAGCTTTACACGAACGAACGAACGAAACGAACACATCCTTCAGGTGCTGCGAACTGTGCGATGCAAACGGCTAAATAGGCACGCAAAGAAGTACAGCTCCTAATGCAGGTGTGTGAGTAGTTGTCATCTATTTTGGAGTGATTGCAATGTATTCTAAATATTAAATTGTTCTGTTCATTTCTGGACAGATCATGCACCGCGTTTAATGGTAGAATAGCGTGCATACAAATACATATACATATACATACGTGTGTGTGTGTGTGAGAGAGAGAAATGCATGGTCAATATTTTGTAAACTTTTCCCCCTTGAACATTTTGATTGAAAAATTCGAAAAGAATAAATAAATTATTCCCCCCCTCCCCTCAGGTTGTCCATGCTGATTCAGGAAAATAATTTTTGTCATTAATTTAAATATTTTTTTTCTATTTCAGTTAACATTTATTATAGTTTTTGTTAATAATTTGAATTATATTCTAATTTATTTTTATATTTTCTGCTTTTTTTTTTGTTTAGTAATTTTGTTGTATATTTTTGTATTTTTTGTGATTTTTATCAGTTCACATCACAAACACATACCAGCTTCATCACTGTCTGTCACGCGACTCTGTTCCCCTTTCGGGCTCTGTCTTTACATTTATTTTGAAAGCTATATTTATTAATGCCAATAATGCTTACATTTATGTGTCTTTTTGTTCGGTCGGGCAGCCATGTTGCCGCTGTTGCCGGTTTACGCTGAGATAATTCATGGAAGCAATCAAAATCAACAAAAGAGCAATGATATGCAATTAATATAAAAGTCTCAGTTAGCTTAACACAGTACACGTAGCAAGGGTTTTCTAAATAATAGACGCGACGCTTTGAATTTGCGCGTACAGTGAATGTGACAGCGCGTCGGGAGCTGACTATCAAAATAGCTACAAAAGTAAAAGCAGATAAGATTGTATTCAAAGTTAAAAAGCAAACACACTACAACATTTTTTTAATGTTTCAAATAATTGATCTCAGATGTGTTTATCTTAAAATTCTGCTGATGATACTACATTACTGCTCTAACATAACACTTATAATTTCAGTTTCAACTAACTAGAAAATAACTTTTGTTTGTGTGTGT